ACTGGAAATGAATCAGGAAGGCCCTTGAATTTCACTGCAAATTAGAACCAGGAAAGAGATGATATTACACATTCCATGAATAGATGGCTTTGTCTTCTTGGGGAGAGAAACCTTTAAGATGCTCTTTGTCTGGCATCACCCGCCTTCCCTTTTTTCACATGAATTTGCTTCCTTTGGGGTGGGGGGGTCTGATGGATTCAAGGAGCAGCTCATATTTTGATTCTGCTCACTTATTCTACTGAGTTTGATTGTTCTTCCTTCCCTACCACTTTTCCCCTTGTCTTTTTCTCTCTTCCTGCCCCCCCAACCTTTCTTTGTGCCAGGGTTTTTTGGTTTATTTGGTGTGTGTGTGTGTGTGTGTTTCTTTCCTTCTTACTGGGATCCTACAACTTCTTAAAAGGGGAAGCTAATCCATATAAATAAGGAGAACCTGTCGGGATTTGTTTCCCAAAAGGTAGAATTAATAGAGGCACTTTCTTTTTTCAGGTAGGAACAGATCTTGGTACATATTTCTCTTGCCTTGAAAAGAAATTCCTTTCTCTCCTATCTCTGCTTCTCCTACTTCCATGTCTTTTCTCCATCTTCCCCTTCCCTCTCCCTCCTTTTTTCTGGTTCAAACATCTTTCCTCGTAAATGCTTCCAGCGTCTGTATTTCCTGGGGCTTCCTGTTTTCCTTCATATTGACAACTGACACCGTTCAACAGATGCGTAAAGGAGCGGATTTCTACCTTGCCTGCCTTGGGTAGCTTCACTATAGTGGTCTAATCGTTTGGGTCGGTTTGTTTTTTCCAGGCTAGTTTTTGCTGTGACTGCGATTGATATCTGTTTCCAGGGGGAACCCAAGATGAATTTCTATCCTTAGGTTTTGTGGATCGGCCCTCCTTTTCCCCCATGTTATTTAGAAACAATTTGCACTTTGGATTTTGGAGATGCTGGAGAGGAAAGAGCGCGCGCGCTGCAAAGTGATGCTTCAGCACCTTGAGTTGCAAAGATTTCTCTGTAGTGGGGGGTCTGATGCCTGCTTAGGTAGGATCTGTTTACCTCCAGGAACCCCATTCCTTAAAAATAATACTAAAAGGCAAATGTTTGCCAAGGCAATATACATCTCTAATGCATTTTACCTTGAGAGGAAAAGAAACATTGTGGCGCACTCTCTGGAATTTCTTAGTGCTCAGGGAAGAGTCTTCTTCAACATCCTGCAGGTTTTGAATGCTATGCTTTCTTTCCTTTTGGTAAAAACCTTTTTCAAACTTCTGATCCTGGTATTTTCGCCTGTGATTTTGTTCATCTCTAACTCGGTCCACATTTCTACAATAACTGAGACACACGTATGTACATCCCAAAAGATCTAAAAGATAAAGAAGTAGGCAAGGAGAAAATGGCCTTGGTATGAATCCTAGCTAACTTTGGACAGATTGAATTTTTTGACCCTATTCTGATGATGATTATTATTATTATTATTAGTCATAAGAAGTCCTATGTTTGTATTTTGGCTGTAACCAAGTTTGTATCTGTATAGGGGTTTAAGAAAGTGACATCCATTTTTGATAATTCATTTGTAAGACACATTTAGTTGGTAAACAGTTCATTTCAGCTGAAGTTATTTTCAAATCAACATGATTTCCACTGCAGCTTGGACTCTGAAAACATGGAAATAAAACACTGAATTGAAGGACATTTTTTTAATTAACAACACATTTTGTTCTTGTTGTCAGAATGATGTTGTCACCTTTGTTAAGGCTTTCAGAAAGGGCTGGAACTGTGTTTGAAAAGTACATAAATGTGTTGAGAATGTGCATGGAATTACAATTTTAATTGAGTAAGTTACTATGATATTTAAACCATGTTTATTAACAAAGATTTCCCACATTGAAAAGATTTTTTTTCATGATCAGGACAGTTCTTTGTAGACAGTAAAACAATCCATATTTGCAATAAAATCTTTATTTTTCAGTATATTATGGAAAAATAATAAACATTGCATGGATACAGATGAAATACTGACAGTTATGAAGCAATACCATAATATTTAAAATTCTATTTGTCAGAGAAAAGTGCTCTTATATAGTCAAATGCAACAAACTGCATTAATTCTGAAGATTTTTTTAAACATCATGAATCTTTTCTAGTTCACACAGAAACTCATTTGGTAGTGAATGCCAGACGTTAAGCTCAAAAGTGATTTAGCAAATCTTCACTATTAATTTCTAGTACCACATCAGATTTGAGCCTAACCACAATCCTTAAAAAATGAAGATAATTGCATTTCTCAATAATTAAAATATGATAGATTGTATTAATTTTTATTTGCTTATTTCTGTTAGCCTTCAAATTGTTGTTGTAAATTCTTTATAATATACATTAACGCAAAATGTATAGTTATCAAAATTAATGTGCAATACAATGTGGTGTGTGCCCCCAGAGGTAAATCCCAGTGGGTTAACAGGACTTATTCCCAGGAAAGCATGAACAGATTTGCTTTCTAGTAAATCACTAAAATCATCTCATGCTTTAGCAAAAATTTAATAATATTCGAACATATTGGCTAGGCATGTCAAAAAGAATTAATCAAAAAACCTTTTCAAAATCTTTAATATTTTCCAAGCTAAACTTAGCTGGAAAAAAAATCACACTTAGAAGTGGTTTTGTATGTAATTTTAATTGTTGTTAGCCACCTTGATTGTTCTCAGAGGGGCGGGGTACAAATATTAATATTATTATTATTATTATTATTATTATTATTATTATTATTATTTGTATTTTAGAATATAATTATGTAGCTTCTTTTTTCCAAGGCTTCAAAACACAGTGCAAGCCTCATAAAAGAGAGATGCTTACACATTCTTTCATTTTTTTCTCCTTCACTTCTGCATGTGATGATGATGATGATGATAATGATGATAATGATTCAGTTCCAGATGTATATTACAATATGTGAAGTAAGCAGGACATTGTGCCCCAAAGGCATATAAAATCATTTCCTTAAGTTAATAAAGTCTTTAATAGGAACGATAATACCAAAGAATTTACACCAAGCATTTATTTAGTCATTCAGGACTGTACTTATTTAGGTTAAAATAAAATTGGGGATGATAAATAAGATTTAATTTCTACTCATATTGAAAAGAAGATTTAAAATTTGTTTGAAATACTGTTAATATATGTATTTTTTTGCACCAAGAGAAATACTTTAAGAATAATGAAGAAAGGCCTATCAGTTTTAGGCTGTACAATTCTTTGAAAACAAAGTCGTTTTTAAACAAGTCTTTCAAACAAGTTTTACTGTAACATGCAACTCCCAGTACTCATCACCACTGGCTACGCTAGCGAAAGTTGCTGGGAGATGTTGTTCAACAATATTAGTAAGACTGCACAATTCTTACTCTTCCTGCAATAGCTCACTTACACTGATTTGTTTAGATTGTTTAGATTGTTGGAGATGTTGTCCAACAATATTAGAAAGACTATAGTCTTTTGTGGGTTTTTCGGGCTGTGTGGCCATGTTCTAGAAGAGTTTCTTTCTGATGTTTCACCAGCATCTGTGGCTGGCATCTTCAGAGAAATAGGTTGCTTAGAAAGACTGCACAGTTCTCACTCTTCTTGCAACAGCTCACTTACATTGATTTGTTTAGATTGGTCAGTTCTCTTTTCTTTGCTGCCTGTTCCACAAAACAGTTTGGGGGTTTTGTAGTGTTTTTTTTTAATGACTTGGTTCCAGATAACATTAGTTATGCTTCAGTCATACTGATATCAGTGGGACAATGTAGTCATGACTAATAGTTAGGACCTAAGCCAATATATTTCACTGGAATGTAAATTCAGTATAAGACACAGGAGATTATCACATGAGGGATGGGAACGTCATGGTCTCGTCCCTTTCCCATCCTTCCTGCAATTGCGTGGGAAGGACTTTCAGATGACTTCGTGCTTATCCAGATATTATCCCATCTGGAAAGTGCAAGTGATAGTGATCACGCGAAAGCATTTCAAATGACTTTGCGCTGATTCTGTCATTGCCCTGTCATTGAAATGGCATTGTCTGGCATTTTGCATTGGGAGTTTGCATTAATGTAATGCTACTTCAATGACAAGGTAATGACAGGATCAGCACAATATTATGAAAGGCTTTCATGCAATCACTGTCATGGACAGGATAAGGATGGGGAAGAAATCCCATCCCTATCCCGTCTGTGTATGATAATCTCCACAGTCATGTGTCAGTAAACTGTAAGATAGTTTACTGTTGCTGGAAATTCTTTGTGCTATATTTTGGAAAGGACATTTAAAAAAAATGCAACGTAAGGATCAGACTTCACATTCCATAATGATCCAGAAATGTGGATTGTTGGAAGTGGGGTTGTTTTGTTTTGTTTTGTTTTGTTTTTTCTGTTCACCAGTGCCATTGATTAATGCAGGGAAAAAAGAGATTTTGATCAGAGCAGCAGCACTGAGAGAGAGCGCTAGCCTTTCCCCCATTCCAGTTTTCCTGTCAAAATGCCCCTCCAAAATGCAATTGTTAGGCCCACAGAGCTGGGGTACATGGTATCTGAAATTAACAGGCTTCCCTCCCCCTATATTTTAGAAGGGGGGATCAATCAAATTAAATCAAATTTTGAGTCTTCACAGTTGCTTCAGACTTGGGTGAGAACTTTATGGTGCTTGATTAACTTGGAAAAAGTTACTTTGTTTACATTTTGAGTGGCGGAATTCCCCCTCTAGTATCCAGAGGCCATTCTGGCTGGAGGATTCTAGGAGCTGTAATCGTTCATGGTCTTCATGGACATTTTCTGAGTTCTTAACTGAAATAAATACAGAGCAATAGAAACTTTATGTCTGGTTTATTTGCTTTTTGTTGTTGTGTGCCTTCAAGTAGTGTCCACCTTATAGCAAAATTGGGTTTTCTTGGGGTTTACTTGGCAAAATTTATTCAGAGGAGGTTTGTCCTTGTCTTCTTCTGAAACGAGAGTATAACTTGCCCAAGATCACTCAGTGTGTTCCCATGTCTGAACAGGGATGTGAACCTTGGTCTCCAAAGTACAAGTCTGATACTCAAACCACTACATCACACTGGCTCATCCAACTTATAGAGAGAATGATAGCCAAGTCTAATTTTAGAACCTATTGTTTGGATTTTACACCAAGTCATTTATTGTAACTGTTTTTATGATTAAATTAGTCTAAGTTACAACAAATATAGTTTTTCTTGCTTTGATATTTCTCACTGTAAAAATGTTAACATTTCAACCTATATTGTATTTTGCTTTTCTTGAGACACTTAATATTGACATTTCTATAATGAAATATAGAGGTTTCTCATTAATTTTCATTAATTTGACCCATTTTTACTTTATTTGTTCCATAAACATTTCAAACTTTTTAGTAAAAATTTGTGTAGCCCAAATACAAAGTATGTTTTCTTCCTTTAACAATTATGCAATACAGAAATATATATTTTTATTTCCTAGAAATTTGATATATGTTGTATACATTCAGTAGCTGGAATATATGAGAAAGGGGATGTTCCTTTACTTAGAACAGGGGTAGGCAACCTTTCCCCTTTAAGGGCCGAGGGACTTCAGCTCCCAGAATCCCAGGAGCTATTGGCCAACATGGGACTATTGGCCAACATGGCTGAGGCTTCTGGGAGCTGAAGTCCCTTGGTCCTTAAAGGGGAAAGGTTGCCTACCCCTGACTTAGAACATCGAATTAAGCAAAAGAAATTTAACTGAGCAAAAAGAAGTTGTAGCATAAGCTTTTATAGATTTGGTCTACTTCCATGGTCTTCATGCATCGGAGGAAGAAGTCTACAAAAGGTTGTGCAACAACATCATTCACTCAAAGCCTCTTTGCATAGTGATATTCCAGATTAACATGACTACATCTCTGAATTGTACCCCTTACTTAGAAGTAAGTCGTAATAAGTTTATTTTAACTTTAACTCTCAGCATTCAGATATGGACTTGCTTGAGAGTAGGTGCATTCTACTCAACAGGACCTATTTCTGAATAGTGCTATGTAGTTAATCTCTTTTAGTCTTCATTAAAAAAAAGTTTTATTCTTTTATTCTTCATGGGGTTCAGGATCAAAGCCAGAAATATCCATTATGCATCTGCCTTAATTTTGAACATACGTTTGCAAGCAGTTGCAGGGTGAGAATTATTAAGAGAAGAAATTTATAAAATACTTTTAAAAGCCGTATTGGATTAGAATTAAACAAGAACACATTCAAGTTCATCATTTGCTTTGTAGTCAGGGTATATGATGCATGGCCTTAAAAAAAAGAATTAGAGCTTCTTACAAATTAAAATTAAAGACTTATTTGGCACAATCATGACTAAAAATATCTTCCTATAATGTTAGATAATAACTTTACAATAAGCAATATATTTACAGTCAAATTGACATTTGTGATCTTTCCTTCTCCCTCCCAAGCACTCTGTATGAAGAGACTAGACACTTCAAAGGTCTCTCTCTCTCTCTTGCTCACACACACCATTTTTATCAGATTGTCTTGGTTACCTTGCCATTTGTCCACTTGCATTGACACTGACAATGAATACAGACTTTGCAGTTGTCACTGCCCCACTCTGTACATGCTGCATATTTTAGTACAGGAGTGGGAATCATGTTGCTCTCCAGATGATACTGAACTGCAACTCCCAATACTCTTCACTGCTAGCTATGCTAGCAAAAGCTGCTGGGAGATGTTGTCCAAAAATATTAGGAAGACTGCATGATTCTCAGTCTTCCTGCAATAGCTCACTTCTTACAGTTCCCAAACTGTGTTTTGTACATTTTTCAAAGAATCCACTTTCATTTCTTGGGTGTGATACTGTTGTACTGGAGGGAACCCCTATTCTGGGCTAAGACCTTTTTTGTCATGAAGTACTTAATGGGAATGTCACCTAGATACTGCCCAGCAACACTACAGTGCATGCATTAACTTCAGCTTAGAATTCCTCACAGCATATAGTTGCTGGCACATTGCACATTGGGCTGTGCCAGGAGGTGAACTCACAAAAATAATATTGGGCACAATGTGATGACAATACAACACAAAAGATGCTAGTCAGTATTTTGCTGTAATACAATGCTGTACATTGGTGTATTTTGTCCAACTGTGAATTACTGCTTTCAGAGAAGGTCTGTCTGATATTGTGTGTTGCGCTAGTGTGTTTCTGGATATCCTCTTCCCTTTATTGGCCTCTCCTTTACCTCCTATTTGGCATTATGGTTTCCAGCAGCCTAAAAAGAGTCAGTTCCATTCAGATCTACTCTGGTTGCACAATGCTACAGCAAGCCTGAGTGTTAAACCACCTGATTCACAGTGCACTGTATCTGCAAGCCACATCACCCTAAATATAATCCCCCTTAGAGCAAGGGATGCAACATAAAGTAAACTAATTCATTCAGCAACAATTATGCATCCAAACAATTGCAGTACTGGCTGCAAAGTACACAGTGGCGCAAAGGTACACTGTTGCATCAGCTATTGACTATGGCATCTTACAGATGAAGCTTAGTTTGTACCATCACCTTGTCATATTTTTAAAAATTGACTGAAATAGTCATCTTCTGTTGAAACATTCCAATGTTTTCTATCATTTTTTAAATATTTCTTTCCAGGAAAAAAATCCATTAAGGAGAAAATGATATTCTCACAGTGTGGTTTGACTGGTAGAACGAGAATTCATCTTTTTGGAAGCATATGCCAGTGGACAGTCTCAGTATTGCTTATTATACACACTGCGTTTTGTATCAATACATAGGCCTTTAGACACACAGCATTACCTTTGAGGAAGTAAGCTGGGGGAGATATCCTTCCATAATCTTGTGGAAGAACAAATATTGGGATGGACATTGACCAAAAGGGTAAGAATCTCTGTAACAAGGTACTGATTTTCCCATGATAAAACTAGGAAGTAAAATCTTTTATCAGGAACATAACAGGATAAACCACAGGTTTCATGAACTGTCTAGGATTTAGCTGAGGTTACTGTATGTTCTGTCTTGATTTTATATCAGCATTTGCAAGCTTACTTTAAATCAAACCATCATGTAGGAAAAAGGAATTGATAACCAAAATTAAATTATGTATGAATACAGTCTTAAGACCACAGTCTCATAGTTAAAAGTTATTAAAAATAGTAGGTCATGTTATTAGAGAAAAGGTAGAGGATGAAAAGGAAGTGAAGAATTTTCCAGATGCTTCCATGAATATTTAAGGATGGTGATTCCCATGCACACACACACACACCCTGAATTCTCTATAAGCATATTTAAAGCAAAGTGTTATTCTGAGAAAAAGGTGATATTAGGGCATAGATTCTATAGAGATGAGACAAAATCACCCCACTTTTCATTCTTAAAATAACGCCGTGGCACATCATTGGTTTAAACCAGGGGTAGGCAACCAATAGTCCCATGCTGGCCAATAGCTCCTGGGATTCTGGGAGCTGAAGTCCCTTGGCCCTTAAAGGAGAAAGGTTGCCTACCCCTGGTTTAAACATACATGCCTACTAGCAGCCTATCTAGTTTAGTCTTATAATAACTGATAGCTATCAAACTAAAATTGATTTTTAAGGGATTGATTTTGAAGAAGCTAAAGTGGTATGATCATAACCTGAGAGACTGACAGGAAGGATATATCTCATTCTGAACAGCAGACTGTTAAGAATTAGAGGTCATGAGGTAAATCTGCAATTACTCCACAGTGTAAATCCTTTAAAGACAACAAAATACAAAAGACAACAAAAGTAATAAGCTCACTCCCAGTAGGGAGTTACCAAAGTGCTCCTGGTGATTTATATAACAGCAATGGAGATGAAAGTGATTGCTGCTGTATAAGCTTTTGGTAGCTACATATTTTAGCTTCAGGTCATGTTCATATCTTATAAACTTTTGTCTTGGACTGTAGGAGCATATGCTTTCATGGACTAGAGCATACTTCATCAGAAGCATAAAGGATTGTCCTCAGTTGACAAATACATAATACATGGGTATACAGGAGGGAGAAATACAAATGTAGCTATAGATCTCACTCAGGTGGTCCAATTAATATGCAAAAAGAGAATGTAAGAATGAACAATCTAGCTTTTCTGTAACCACCTTCACCCCCTTGCCAATCTCATTGACTTCTTTATGTTCAGGGTGATTGCATCTGGATGTGTGTGTTTACGTGTGTTTTGTGAGGATTTTTTTTTGTATCTTTGTAGGTTTCTTGTGAAATTTAGCACACTAATTTTCCAGAATTTTAGACCATGAAAGGGCCTTGGTGTATAGAAGAGGTTCCTCACTGCAGACAGCCATCTTCACTAAGTGAAGGTGGTGAGAATGGCATCAGAGAGGCGAAATCCAGTATGCTGGTCCTCCTCAACTACAGAATGCCTGAGCCACACTGAAAATACATGATTAATGCTTCAGTCCCATGTAAAACTTGTGTGTGATGGAGGTAAATCAGAAGTGGTCAGGCATGTTTTATTGTTCCTTTTATCACAATATTTGCAATGCTTTTTTCATGCACTTATCCATACAGTTGACTGATGGAATGAATTTCATCTTTTCCTCACTCTTTTCCAATCAAGATTCCCAGGTTACCAATAAAGTGGCCGGATACTCTGCAACTGCTAGTGCCTCATATAGATCCTTGAATAGATCCTTCAGTAATTTGATGTAATCCTTGTGCTGATTTTAGTAACATCAAGCATGTTACTACACAAACACACATACTGTACATGTTACTTTTAATATCTTAGTAGCATATAAATTTTGTAGTATCGTTGTTGTTATAAATCTTACATAGGACCTTATCACACGCTGGCCACGAAGCGAAAAGTAACCGAAATAAGAGTAAATTCAGTTCTATACTGAAATGAACTGAAAGAGCTGTAAATGCCTACCACACGCAATTACCACCATAGCGCATTTATCGTGCTTCCCTGGACATGCATCCTGGAAACATATTCTCCGTGCACACACAAGTTACAAAATCCCATAAATTACAAAGAAAGGACCGTGTTTACCCGTCCCATTTGTTGCCCAATCCAAACAGGAAGGACACGTCATAAGAAGC